CCAAGTGGCGCCCCACCTGTCAGTAAAGGGGCTTTATCCTTTCATAAAACCGTAACATTTATGTATAAATCTTTTTGAAGGATCATGGATTCAATTTGTACTGAATAAATAAAAGGTGACAACCGATTGTGGTTAAAAAAAATGTGACGATTAGGTTATGCACTTGTTTCGTAAAACTTTATCAAATTTTTAATCGATCAAACTTCAATTTTAAGTATACATTACATTAACCGCATTTCATTAATTTTTACCAAAATCTCCCTTCTTTTTTTTTTTTTTAACCAAAAACTTTGTCAAACAACACCTATGTTTTCTTCTTGGTATTTTTAGATAGATCAGATCTTTGCCTATGTTTCGGTTCCATTTTTTCAAACTCACTTTCAATCACACATTCTCCTATAAAATAATTTTGCATGTAAACTAAAAAAATTTCTTATTTTTTAATCACATATTTTCGAAAAAATCATTATTCCAAAAACATATTTTTATCAAAAATTGGGTGGGGGTTCAAACATTGGCTTCATCAAGTTAGCTTCCTTTTTTTGGGCTATCATGGACATTGAATTTAAGAGTGCACCAATGTTTAATTAATGAGTTAACACGTCAGTAAATTATATCCAACACTAATTACCTAAGATTACAAGTAAATATCGTCAACTTGACTTATTTAAATTACTAGTTTGTCACTTTATTATAATGCAATAAGATACATAGAGAAAGAGGAGATATTCTTTGATGTGACAAATGAAATGCGAAGGACAAGGACGGACCAAAATGTTGCACGGCTAGAAAGTAATCCGCTATCTCTTGAGAAACGTGTGTTCGTTTCCTCTGAGATGTGAGAACCGAGGAGGCTTATTTAACTGCAACTTAACAATAAACACATCTCCATTGCATCAAAATTAGATAAATTACTGGTTTTTAATTGTACTAGTTCTTCCTCAGTGGGATGGAAACGAAAACCAGGCATGACAATGTCGTGTTCGTGTTCATCCTTGCTCTCATCTTGATTATTCATGGCTGCTGCAATTGCCATAAACTAATTACACCTCACAATCTAATCTAACTCAATCAATATATAGTCATCACAAGTCTTAAGTTACTGTACGTACTTGCAAGAATTGTGGTGTAAAAGTTGTGGGGTGGGGATGGTGTAAACTGCGGTTGAAGACTTACATACTTATAAGCCACTCTCTCTCTAAATAAAAGGGAGGGGAGAAGAAGGAAGAAGAAACTAAAGGGAATGGTGGAGTTAGTGGAAAGATCTACATAGCTTTCAGGCCCTAGATGGGAAGATGTTGCATTAAGGTGTTTTAATATCAGAGAGGGACATCATAAATACAGACTGGGTGCCAGTTTCACAGCCGTGGGTTTGGAGTTTTCTTTATTCCACCATAACAAGGGTGTTCTCAATTAAGATTTTAATAAATTTTAAATGATTATAAATTCTAATGAATTTGGTGGATTTAAATAGATTCTTACAAATTTCATAAGAATCTCATCAAATATGGTGAAATTTCAAAAAATTTACTTATATGTATTTTTAAGATTGAAATCCATCCAAATCTTTTAAAATCTTTCTACTAATGAAATCTTTATAAATTCACTAATTATTGAGGATACCTAAATTTTAAAGGATTTCATTAAAATTTCAATTGGGGACACCTAAATTTTAATGAATTTAATTAAAATCCAATAAAATCTCAGTTGAAGATATATAAATTTAGAATGACTTTTAAAATCCATTGCAATTTCAATTGAGGACATCCCTCTAAATTTTGTTATTTCTATAAAATTATAAATTTTTACAGTAAAAATTTCTTTCATTTTTATGATTTCCTTTCCAATTCCAACAAATCAAGGCAGTTCATTGTCAAGCCTAAAGAATATCAATATCCATATGTACACTACCAGCTCAAATGGAAGGGTGCTTGTGAAAAGAACACAAGTTCGAAAATTATTGATCTCAGTGGAACGTTATTTGATTTAATCAAATGCTCATGGTAATCAGTCTCTCATTGAATCTAATTGAATTGTTCTGTTAGTAAGTTTTCGATAATTCTTCCATATATATTCAATATTTGTGTGCCATTGGTAATTATTGAGTATCTAAAGGTAAGAAATTTTGGTGACACATTTTAATCTGATCAAAAGGAATTTCTTACGCAACTTCTTAGGCCAAATCCCTTTTTGTACGTACTAACCTAAAAGCAAATCTCCTAATGAAATTATTGATAATAGGGTAGCTGATAATAATTCAAAACAAGTACACAAATCTTACCCCTAGTATTACCCAAAAAATTCCATCAAATATTTAAGAGTAATACTATTTGCAGTGGTCACTGCTATAGTTGTCTTATGTGGTATATATGTAACGGTTAGTGATTTGATACATTAATGTGATAGTTTTTTATTATATTGTGCAACAAATTACTAACCGTCACATGTATGTCACGTAAGACCATTGCAATAGTAAGCGATTGCAGATAACATTATTTAATATTTAAAGTACATGGATATAAAAATTATGAAGTTGCACGAATATTCATTTCTACTCATAAATACTTGCAGTAAACATTTCATAATGACTAAAAAAATTATCGGAATTTTTTTTCTATGCATAAGTATAAAAATTTATTTTGTCCCCTAGACTCTGCCCCCTGGGTGGTGGTGTGCCGCTGGATAGCAAAACATGTATATATGTAGCCAGGCGGGGGATGTAATACAGCTTCGAGTCTATTATGAGAATAACAATAGCTCATTTCCTTTTGTTTTCATTTCCCATCCACATTTTTTTTCTTTGGTTTCATACCTTTTTTTTTTGGGACCTTTTACCAATTTCTTCTAATAATTGATATAGGGTTTTATTGTTAGCTAATAATCGGAGTCTAATCTTTCTCCTAAAGAGAACTTTATTTTTATCTTTTTTCTTGTCTTATAGAGGATTACAACGAATAAGATATAAACTATATAATATACAATGTTTAAAAAGGTAAAATCGTGTTTGACTCTAATATACAACATGTGAAAAGGCCAAACCGCGTCTCGCATAGAAAATAAGACATTTCTAGGGGTCTTATGAAATCCTTAAAAATGCAAAATTAATTGTATAAATTTCTTCAATATTTATCCGTGACATAAGGCCTAACTTCCTCTCATTCCTATATTGATTCAACTGGAAGAAAGATACAGGAAAACTCTTCAACATATGGAAGAAACCTTGATTTAAAAATAATAATAATAATAATAATAATAATAATAATAATAATAATAATAATAATAATAATAATAATAATAATAATAATAATAATAATAATAATAATAATAAATAAAAGAAAAAAAGTTTACTCACGCACGCGTGCATGCATGATTGTTTCTTGTCTGATATAGGTCGAAAAAATAAAGGTAATAATGGAAGGGATGAAAACCCTAAAGTCAGCACAATAAATGGAAATTTCCATTTAAAATCATAATTTCCAGGGATGAAAACCCTAAAGTCAGCACAATAAAGGTCTATTCCATTCAACTACAAAACAATGGAAATTCGCATTTGATTCTATTACAATTAGGTAACGTCCTTTAACAAGATTGACGAAATTAAAATCATAATTTCCAGGGATGAAAACCCTAAAGTCAGCACAATAAAGGTCTATTCCATTCAACTACAAAACAATGGAAATTCGAATTTGATTCGATTACAATTAGGTAACGTCCTTTAACAAGAATGACGAAATTAAGATCATAATTTCCACCGACTTCGTATTATAAAAATATGTTCACAAGCTATTGACTTTACACTTATTATAACATAATAAAGGTATATTATTGCAGAGTGACCTTATAATATATAAGTAGGTCTCCTACTGAGATTTTAGTCTAAAGTCTTACATTCTCCTAGTATATACAGGAAACTTTAGTCCCTCCGATTCTCTCTTCCTCTAATCAAAGTAGGTTTGAAATTACAACTTGAGACTATTGACCCTTATCATTTTTTCATATTTTGCGCGCCCACGCACACACATATAGGCACACACGCACACGCATGCACACTTGCTCACATGGTTCATGCCGCAAAAGATGCCACGAGGTCTTGGTTTCAATATGTTCATGGTCCCTAAAAGAATTGTTTAAATGTTGTATCTTACATTTATCGATTATCACTCCATTCCTTTTATCTAACTAGTAGTAAGCACATGCGTTGCACGTCTTATGTGTGGAATGAATAATATACGTAATATTTTTAAAGTAAGGCAATTGATAACATAATTAGTTTGATTAACCAGTGGTACAAGGCTTCAAATGTTAGAAAAATAAACATGTATTTAACGTATTTAATTTAGTTTCATGAATTTAGAAGTTTGAAATACATGTATTATTATTTAATATGTACCTAGTTAATTGTGGTTCATGTATGCATGTATTGTTAGTTAATGTGTAACTAGTAAAGTATGGTGCATGTAGTAGAATTAATTTGAGGGGATGAACTTATGTGATAGGAAGTCTTATAAATACTTATGTAATCTTGAGTTGAAGACAAGTTCACAATTGAATAGAAAATCATTTCCTCCTCTTAAGTCCACTTCTATTTCCTACAGAGTGGTATCAGAGCCACAATACTAGAAACAATGGCAAATACCAACATGATCCCCTTCAAAATTTCAAAACTGTCCAAAGAGAAATTTGATAATTGGTGCATCCGCATGAAGGCACTACTTGGTGCACATGATGCATGGGACATCGTGGAGAATGGTTATGAGGCTCCCACCGATCTAGCTACTCTCACTCAAGTACAAAGGGATCTTTTACAAAGCACTAAGAGGATGGATCAAAAGGCTGTTTCTCTTATTCACCAAGCAATGGATGAGGCAACTTTTGAGAAGTTTTCTAATGCTACTACAGCAAATCAATTATGGGATATGCTTCAAGTTGCCTGCAAAGGAAAGGAGAAGGCAAAGAAAGTTCGCCTCCAAAATCTATGAGGTTAATTTGAAGCTATTCAAATGAAAGAATCCGAAAAGGTGTCGGATTATATTTCAAGAGTGGTGACCGTTGCAAACCAAATGAAGAGGTTTGATGAAGATGTGACTAATTTAAAGGTGATTAAGAAAATCCTTATATCAGTTAGTGAGAAATTTGATCACATGGTGACTGCCATTGAAGAATCGAAGGACTTGGAAGATATGACAATTGAAGAATTAAGCGAATCATTGGAAGCATATGAAGAAAAGCTTAATAGAAGAAGGAAGGAACCATTGGAGCATGTTTTACAATCAAAGCTCACATTAAAAGACAAGGAAGAAAAGGGAAATACAAGTTTCAGAGGACGAGGACGTGGACGAGGTTTTGGAAAAGGAGGAAGAGGTAACCATATTTCATTTCAACGTAGAGATGAAAATTATCAATCCAACTTAACAAGAGGACGTGGCAAAGGAGGAGCAAGACCGTATCAAAAAAGGAATGACAAGTCACAAGTTAAATGTTGGACATTATTCATGGGAATGTAAAAGTGGTGATGGTGCGAGAGCTAATCTTTCTCATGAAGAAAATATAGAAAATAATGAAGAGATAGAGTCTACTCTTTTGATAGCTTGCAAGGACTTGCAGCAAGGAGAAAACCATTATTGGTTCTTTGATACTGGAGCTCGTAATCACATGTGTGGGGACAAAGATTTGTTCATAGAGCTTGCTAAGAAGGTTGGTGGCAATATCACATTCAGGGATTCCTCCAAAATTCCAGTAAGGGAGAAAGGTAAAATTCTGATACGTATGAAAGATGGAAATCATCAGTTTATTTCAAATGTTTATTATGCTCCAGTTATGAAGAGTAATATTTTAAGTGTGGGTCAATTATTGGAGAAATATTATATTTTGTTCACAAAAGGTTGCAGTGTGTTTTGAAAAGATGATGCAGGAAATTTGATTGCTAAAGTACTTATGGTGAAAAATTGTTTGTTCGTTTTGTCCATACAAACGGATATGGCCAAGTGTTTGACGTAGTGTTATAAAGACTCATCATGGTTGTGGCATTTACGATTTGGGCACATAAATTTTGGATGGCTCAAAATAATGGCTAGCAATGGAATGGTGAAAGGTTTGCCTCCAATACATCAGCCTAATCAGCTTTGTGAAGAGTGTCTTCTTGGTAAGCAGTCAAGAAAGGTCTTTCCAAAGGAATCTCAATCGAGAGTTTCAAGGCAACTACAATTGATACACACTGATGTATATGGGCCAATCACTCCATGTTCTTTTGGTAAGAACAAATATTTTCTTTTGTTTATTGATGATTTCAATAGAAAAACATGGGTGTATTTTCTAAAAGAAAAATCGGAGGTGTTTAATTGCTTTCAGAATTTTAACGCTCTTGTAGAAAAAGAAAGTGGATTTAAAATCCAGGCGTCGGATCAGGTAGAGGAGACGAATTCACTTCCAGAAATTTTCAAGACTTCTGTGATGCCAACGGAATTCATCGATTCCTAAACACTCCAAGATCTCCACAGCAGAACGGTGTTGTTGAACAAAACAACCGAACAATTCTCAATATGGGAAGGAGCATGATGAAGATAAAGAAAATGCCAAAAGAATTTTGGGTAGAAGCTGTCGATTGTGTTGTCTACTTGTTGAACTGATGTGCCACAAAGGCTTTAGCCCACAAGACTCCACTTGAATCATGGAATGGGAGAAAACCAGCAGTATCTCATTTGAAGGTATTTGAATGCATTGCATATGCCCATGTTCTTGATGAGAAGCGCTCGAAACTTGATGACAAGAGTAAAAAATGTGTGTTCTTTGGCTATGATTCAAGAACAAAAGGCTACAAGCTTTATAATCCAAGTGATGGAAGGATGTATATTAGTAGAGATGTGAATTTTGATGAGGAAGCAACATGGAATTGGCATGTTCAAGAAGATAACTATGACTTTCTTCCTTTCTTGGAGGATGAAGATGACAATGAAGAAAGACATGAGACTACCACTCCTCCAATTTCACCATCACGTCGTGAAATTGATGTTTCTGAAGGAAGTTTAAGTGAAAGGCCTTTGCATACAAGGAGGCTTGATGATATATATCGAGAAATCTAGAGAATTGATGATATTGCTTTCTTCTGTCTGTTTGCAAATATTGAGCCCATAGGTTTTAATGAAGCTGATGAGGATGAGAAATGGAGAAAGCCATGAATGAAGAAATCGGAGCAATTGAGAAGAACAATACTTAGGAATTAACAACTCTTCCCAATGGACATGCTGTCATCGAAGTTAAATGGGTGTACAAAACTAAGAAAAAATTAAAATGAGAGGTGCAAAGATACAAAGCAAGACTCGTGGTGAAAGGATACAAACAGCGTCAAGGCATCGATTATGAAGAAGTTTTCGCTCCAGTAGCTCGGTTAGAGACCATACGACTGATAATTTCTTTGGCTGCTCAAAATAAGTGGAAGATTTTCCAAATGGATGTCAAGTCAGCATTTTTCAATGGCTATCTTGAAGAGGAGGTCTATGTGCAACAACCCCCGACTTTATAGTAAAAGGAAATAAGGACAAAGTGTTGAAATTAAAGAAAGCTCTTTACGGCCTAAAGCAAGCACCAAGAGCTTGGAATTGTAGAATTGATAAATATTTTCAGGAGAATGGCTTTTCCAAGTGTTCTTATGAGTATGCTCTCTACATTAAGGTGAATGCCAATGGAGTTCTAATTGTTTGTCTGTATGTCGATGATCTAATTTTTACATGCAACAATCCAAAGACATTTGAAGAATTCAAGAGAAAAATGTACTGTAAATTTGAGATGACATATTTAGGACTTATGTCCTATTATCTTGGGATAGAAGTGAAGTAGGCGGAGGAAAGCATTTTCATCGTACAAGAAAATTATGCAAAAGAAGTTTTACAGAAATTCAACATGAGTAATTGCAATCTAGTTAACACTCCAGTAGAATATAACATCAAACTTTCTAGATATGATGATGGTGCAAAGGTAGATCCAACCTTGTTTCGAAACTTAGTTGGAAGCATGAGATATTTAACTTGTACAAGGCTGAATATATTATTTGGAGTAGGACTGGTTAGTCATTATATGGAGGCTCCAACGACAACACATTTGAAAGCTGCGAAGAGAATTTTACGTTACATCAAAGGTACTCTTGATTTCGGATTACATTATTATGCCTCTAATGTTTTCAGACTTAGAGGTTTCAGTGATAGTGATTGGGATGGCGACATTGATGAACGAAAGAGTACCAGTGGATTTGTATTTTACATGGATAACACAGCTTTTACTTGGAGCTCAAAGAAGCAACCAATTGTTACTCTGTTAAACTTGTGAAAGTGAGTATGTTTTTGTCAGTTCTTGTGTTACACAAGCAGTTTGGCTAAGGAATTTGTTGAATGAACTTCATTTTGCACAAAGAGAGCCTACTGAAGTAAGTTTGGATAACAAATCAGCCATTGCTTTAGCAAAGAATCCATTCTTTCATAAACATAGCAAGCATATAGATACCAAATATCACTTTGTGCGTGAATGCATTGCAAACAAGGTAGTGAAGATTAATTTTGTGAAGTCTCAAGACCAAATTGGAGATATTCTCACCAAAGCTCTCAAGTTCAATACTTTCAAGGCATTAAGAAGCTTGCTTGGGGTATGCAAAATTCATGTTTAGGGGGAGGGGGAGGGGTGTTAGAAAAATAAACATGCATTTAACCTATTTAATTTAGTTTCATGAATTTAGGAGTTTGAAATACATGTATTATTATTTAATATGTTCCTAGTTAATTGTAGTTCATGCATGAATGTATTGTTAATTAATGTGTACCTAGTAAAATGTGGTGCATGTAGTAGAATTAATTTGAGGGGATGAATTTATGTGATAGGAAGTTTTATAAATACCTCTGTAATCTTGAGTTGAAAACAAGTCCACAATTGAATAGAAAATCATTTCCTCCTCTTAAGTCCACTTCTATTTCCTGCTGTTAAACAATCCAAAGAAAATAAAGAAGAAAAAGGAGGAGGCTAGGGTTTCATTGATACTACATTAATTAATTAAATGCTAAAGGATGGTTTAACTTAAATACAAAGAGAATATATATAGGCTAAACAAAGGAAACTAAAAAGGACTATTCTACCCTTAATAAATTATAAATAATCATATATTTCTTAACATCTCCCCTCAAACTCACGATGCGGCAGCTACAAGCATCGAGAGTTTGCCAACTAGAAAACGAAAACGAGAAATAGAATGTGACTTGGTAAAAAAATCTGTAAACTGCAAAGAAGAAGAAACAAAGGGCAAAGTAATTGTGCCATGCTTGAGATGATGACGAGTAAGATGACAATCGATCTCAATGTGCTTAGTTCGTTCATGAAAAATCGAGTTGTGAGCAATCTGAATAGAACTTTGGTTGTCGCAATACATAGGAGTGGGATGAGAAAGAAAAACTCTCATATCTGCAAGTAACCAACGTAACCAGACAATCTCTTTAGTAGTAGATGCCATAGCACGATATTCTACTTCGGTGGAAGATTGAGAAACAATAGATTGTTTCTTGCTTTTCCGAGAAAAGAGAATCACCCAAAAAGATACAGAAACCTGTAATAGACTTGCGATATGTGGGATCACTACCACGATCAGCATCAGAGTATGCACGTAGCTCCAAGGAGGAGGTGGATGGAAATAACAGACTCTGAAAGACTGTACCCCGAAGATATCGCAAAATGCGAAGAACAGCTGCCCAATGAACTGTAGTGGGAGAAGCAACAAACTGACTAACAGTATGAACAGCATTTGCAATGTCTAGACGAGTAATAGTGAGATATACCAAGCTCCCAACAATAATACGGTATAAAGTAAGATCTGACAAAGGTAAACCGTCAGAAGAAGAATACTTCACGTTAACCTCAATTGGAGTATCAACAATCTTATTATCAGTAAGTCTTGTCCGCTCAAGAATATGTGCAACATATTTCGATTGAGAAAGAAGATAACCTCTGGGTGAGAAGGCTACCTCAATACCCAAGAAATATCGTAGAGAACCCAAATCTTTCATTTCAAACTGTCTAGCTAACTCTGTCTTCAAAACTGAAATACCATCAATATCATCACCAGTAATAATCATGTCATCAACATATAAAGATAGAATGATACGACCTGCATCAGTGCTCTTAACAGAAAGAGTAGAATCATGACTACTAGAAGCAAATCCAAGAGAAGAGATCACAACAGAAAATTTCTCAAACCAAGTACGAGGTGCTTGTTTGAGACCATACAACACTTTCTTGAGCTTGCAAACATACCCAGAATCATGTGAAACACCAGGAGGGGGTGCCATATAAACCTCTTCTTGAAGATCTCCATTCAGGAAGGCATTTTTAACATCAAGTTGAGAGATATGCCACTGACGAACCGAAGCGACTGCAATAAGAGTATGAATAGTAGTCATTTTTGCAACAGGAGCAAATCTCCTCATAATCCATACCATACTGTTGAGAGTATCCCTTTGCAACCAACCTAGCTTTGTATCGCTCAATTGACCCATCAGAATTAGTCTTGATCTTATAAACCCAACGACAACCAACAACACTCTTACCAGAAGGTAAAGGAACCAAATCCTAAGTACCAGTCTTATGCAAAGCAGAAAGTTCATCATCCATAGCTTGCTGCCAAAGAGGATCAAGAATTGCCTCTTTATAGGAAGAGGGCTCAGAGAGACAATGAATAGAAACTACAAAGGTAGAAAAGGATAAAGAATAACAAGAATAAGCAAATCTTGTAACTTTGTAGACTTACGAATACGTATGGATTGACGTAGAGGCGGATCCACAATCTCAGACGGAGCTTGAGGGACTGTAGGAGAAGAGGACGCTTTAGGTGTGCCGGAGAGTAAAGTATCAGTACCTGCGGAATGATT